TGCAAACTGAACCCAGGGAGACCAGTATAGCTTAGCCAATTTGCGCCATTTCCCCCAACAACAACGAGCTATGCCCCTACTGGTTCCCTACCTCCAAAACGGAGGAAAAAAAGATGCCTTATAATTTGTAAAAATATATATTTTTTATAATACACACTATATATTAAAAATACATATGCATTATAAATTTATTAAAATATTATTTTATTAAAAATATTTTAATGAATATATAAGTAAGGATTATATTTTTAATATCTAATTTACGTTATAAAACATTAGAATTAGAAGAAATACCTGGCTTGGGTTTTCCCTTTCGGGAGGACGGTGGGGTCTTGTACCGCTTTCATCTTCCACGCTTCGTTCATCTCAACCTGAGAATATGAAATTTTCCCACTAGTACATCAAGAAATCTAATATCACTTTTACCATTGAACTATGAAGAATAAGAGTAGTAACAGAGAAATAATACAGAAATGAGATTGATTATACAGTGTTAATCGAAGTTTAGGTAAGTACCAGAAGCCGGGTAACATCATCTGTTAATTGAATCAGAGTGTCAAAACCCAATCGAAGAAAATAAAGAGTTAAATAAAGTAAACAAGGGTCTGAATTTCACCATAAAGGAGCTTCACTTTTCGCTCGTAGACAATCACGACTCCACCTGATTAAAAACAGGATTAACCTCTCCCGTTACTTACAGATGTTACAATTTCAGAATAGAGAGAATTAAAACACAGCGAATTTAAAATTTGTTTACCCATGAGGATTCCAGAGAGCCTAAGAGCCATAGGAACTGAGGGATTCAGAATCTCTTCACTGCAAAAAATAATAATAAGTTAATAACCAAAACGGAAACATCTCAGTTTGAGGAATTGATTATGCGTTAAATGAAATTCAAAATAAAATAAAATAAAATAAGAAATCGAAGGCAACCAAACAAAAAAATAGTTACCAGATTTTGATTATGTTGAGCTTGTTTAGCTTCCTCCGATTGATCTTCGCATGCATGGTCGCCGCCATCCTTCGTAACAGTTTAAAAGCAAAATAAATCCGAATTCGATTCCCATTTCAAGTAAATCTTGAAATCAAACTAACGAAAGCTCATATCACTCTTTTGCGCTCTATTTTTAGATTAAAAAAAAAAAAAAAAACCAAACAGAGTGAGGATTTGCGTACAAAAACACTTCAAAGTCACTTAAAATGATGATTGATGAATTAATCTACATTTCCAAAAACAACATGAAAATGAAGATCATGATTCACACACTTTCATGGTCGCTCACTCAACATCGCATATGACTACAAAAAATTGAGCAAATCGGAAGAAACAACACAAGAAACAGAGGTAAACAGAGACATAAAAAAAAAAAAAAAAAAAAGAAGCGAGATCATGATCAAGAATAGCAGCAACTGAGATCAAATACAGGAAACTGATTACCATATCTGGCCGAGAGGAGCTTTGCGCGCCAGAAGCTGATGCGAGTAGAACATCCTTTCTCTTCTTTTTCAGATTTCAAAAACTGAAAAAGAAGTAGACGGAAAACAGAGGATCTCTGAAGGACGTTTCAGAGAGAAATAGAGAGGAGGAGGAGGGGATTTATGGGTGTGTGTTTTTGATTCTCCATATAAACCCGCCAAAGCAGGGGACCAAGGTGAGCGCCGAGCAGGGAGGGAGCATGCAAGGAACGTTTTGAGTGATATTATAATTACCAGAAGGTGCATCAAAATTTTCATGCTATTGGTGATGTGTCGCTTTGTGAATGGCTCTCACATATCAGCTGAATGCTCCCGCGACCCACACGGATCACCGCGCCGCGGTTGGACCGTGGTTCTGCGTGTGAACTGATGGGCCGAAATTTGGGTTGTGGCCTTGTGGGCCATAAGGCCCATAACGGAAAGCAGAAAATGACAAAACCAAACGACCTCGCGGCCCAACCTTGTCACGTGTTTTCCATAACCAAAGACTTTTTACCTTCTTCTTCCTCTGCTATGGAGGAAGAGGTGGAAGTTTCGGAGCAAGGCGGAGAGGTTGGCGAACATGGCGGGATCCGAGCGTTTGATTGGGAAGAAGGAAGGGAGAAAGCAGCTGCATTTGGCAGTCAGCAAAGAAAATATCTGAGTGTGCGAAGGTGTTGGTTATAAGATCGAGTGCGAATAAGTACGCAAGGAGTACTTACGGGGAGGCTGCGTTGTAGAGACCGACAGCAAATGGTGACCGCAGGATGGTGGAGATATTGCTCCATTATGGGTGCGGTCCCCACTGTTTTTGATGATCACACACGTTCAGCTGAATCACCTCTGGATGTTGCGGGCAGCAGGCACGAAAGGTTATGTAAGTGATTGTGGGCCTTTCATTTTTTTCCGCTTCTTTATTAAACAAAGTTGTATTTTGCCTGAATTTAATTCGGAATTTCTGTCAATTTTCAGGCGAAAGTCGCCGGGAGAAAAACTAAAAACGGCGGCGAGGCGAGGTTAAGCACAGTGTCTCCAGTTACGTCTGGGTAGATAATCAAGGCGTTGGTTGATAAAGGGGCCACCATTATAACAGCCAGAGTAAGAGAGGCGCGACGGCTCCGCACATGGCGGAGACTATGGGCTACACTGACATCTCCCAGTTCCTTATACAGAAATGAACCGTACCCTCCATGGTTTCTTCCTGTTAATCAGCACGTTTGGTGTACATGATTGGATTAGATATGATATATATATATATAAAGCGTTTTACAATTTGGAGTGGAAAGATTCAAACCCAATATGAGGATGCCCCTTACAATCGAGTTCGGAGTTGGGTCACGAAACCTAAGTGTGGATTGGATAGGATATAATTTGAAGGATAAGATTTGATAGGATTAAACAGGATGTGTCATATTAGAATTCAATGATTGGTTGATTATTGGCTAAAAACATTATTTGATAAAAATATTTGTTATATTAACAAAAATACCCCTAATATTACAATTTAATTTCTTATACATTGTTGGGGTGTGCTAGTGATGTGGGTTGAAGAGTAAGTAGTGGAGATGATGTTGAGGCTGACTAGGATGCCACCCGTGAATGATGAGGAGGGTCCTTTTGGTAGCACTTGTTTCACATGCAAGAAGTTATGTGCCATGGGTTGTCTTGTTTTGTCCAACGATGTTGGTCAGTAATAAAATCTCCAGCAAAGTTTGAAAGTATGAATTTTCTAATCAAGCTGGGAGAGTTGGGTAGTGATGATGGAGCTTTAAGAATTGAGAATGATTAAACAACTACCAAAATAATAAAAAGGAGATGTACATTGTTGTAGGAGCAGCAAACATAGAAAACATATAAGGGTCAAAGATTATAACTTGAGAAGCATATTTATACATAGTATATTGTAGCATAATAGTTAAAACAATGAATGTGCTCTCTATCATCATTGATAAATACTCCTACTCTATAATGAGCAACTCTCATGTTGTAGGTGAAAAGCATAATGATTTCCTTTAAGTTTTCTCAAGAACAAAATGAATAAACTTAAAAATAATGATAGGAGAGAAAGAAAGATGATCGTTGTGGGGGCTTGTGAATGGAGGGCTTGATCTCATTTTTAATGTTAACCTTATAGCTTGATCCACTTACGTTCAAGAAAAATTAGCCAGAAGCTGAAACTGAAGCATACTGCCTCCCAAACATGATGTTCTGCAAATTTGGAAATTATTCTGTAGTGTTGGAATTGTAGAAAATATTGATTTCTGGGTATTTTTGGTGTATATGTGGAGAGGTTGAAGATGAAGGATGTTTTAGAGGAAAAATGGAGGTTTGGTGCGTGAGTAAAAGAGTTGGGTGTGGAAAATTTGTTCCTTTTTTTTTTTTTTTTTTTTTTAAATCTTGAAAATCTATTTTTATCTACTGAAAAATGAAGGAAAAATAATATATATGCAATAGTATTTTTGTAATTTATGGTTGATAGGTCAGAGGTGTACAGTGGCCTAATGGGCAGATTTGGGTGAGCTATTGAGTTTTGAGTGGTTTTGGGCATTGTTGATAGTTTTTTGGCAGTAATGATATCAATTATCTAGTGGTTCCAACAAAGTACTGTTAATATGTTGAAGATTATCCATTTTTGGTAACTCTGCAGCTATACGGAATTCCATTTTTGGGGATAATTGAGTACAATCGACAAAAATTAAATCTACATAGGATTTTGGTAGATTCCTAAGGTTTGCCCAAGATTTTAGTAGATTTTCCAGACAAAATATGATCTTTTTCAACAATTTTCAAGGTCATGGAACTTATGCAGTCACCCTTACATTAAATATAGCTGCAGATTGTTGATGGTGATCAAAACATCATTTCTGGTTAGTTTTGAACGAGATTCCAAGCTTTTAGTTAGCATCAAATAGTACGGTTTTGGGACCATGCTCGGCCTCCACGTCTTTGCCACCTAGTTCTTTCTAGCGAAGTCGGGCAACATCGCCAACTCCAAGCTTGCTTGGCACGAATGCCATCGCTTCGTCAGATAGGCAATTTTCATCCATTCATACTTGCCAAGCCACTACTGCCATAGTTTATCCTGTATAATCCCCATGAGCTTGGATTCATGAGTTTATCGATGACCTACATATAGAAGAAGTAGTAATTAGTTGATGAAAATGATAAAATTTAATAAATAAAAAAATAATAAATGAATAAGATTTTCTTATGTATGTCTAGTGATGCAGTCATGTATTATATCATTAGATACTGTTGGACCTAACCATGTATTACAGCATTAGATATCGTTAGGCCTTTTGATAAATGCATATTGAAGGCATTAAGGGGCCCTTAGATC